AGGAGGAGAAGGGAGAGGGAGAGCAGGAGGAGGAGGCAGGAGGCAGGAGGGGCAGGGGGAATGGGGGGGAGAAAGCATAAAGAGGGGGAGGGGGGGAGGTGGAGGAGGCAAGAAGAAGAGGAAGAGGCAAGGGCTGAGGCAGGAGGAGGAGCAGACAGGAGGAGAACGAGGAGGCAAGAGTAGGTGGGAGAAGGGAATGGGCAGGAGGATACCCCCATGCAAGCTAAAGAGATTCTCAGGTGGGGTCCTTCCGTCGGGGTATTTTTTGTGGCGTACTTGATCGAGTTGCAGGTGCGATTACCTCGCGGTGTCATCGCAAGGTGCAGCCTACCCAGCCGCCCTGCAGTGCAAGGCCATGTGCGAGTCTCCCGACAGTCTCATGACTGTAAGGAGCAGCCAGTCAGAGCTAGCCCTTCCAGGCCGACAGCCGACTGGAATGGATAGTGGTTATGAGTCACCATCCCAGCAATGCCATGAGCCACCAGCCGAGCAGCCTGAACCAGCTGAACAGCCTGAACCAGCTCAACAGCCTGCCGAACATGATGCACGTCCAGCTGAGCCGCCTGCTGAACAGCTCGATGAACAGGGCGTTCAGCCGCCTGGTGAACAGCTTCCCGAGCAGCTGCCTGCTGGGCTCGCGCGTGATGCGCAGTCTGCTGGCGCCCCCGCTGCCCCAGAGAGGCAAATTGATGAGGGAGAATCGCGGCCTATCGGCCGCAGACGGAACCAGACTTTGATCGACGAGGAGCTGAAGAAGCTGGTGGCGTCGAAGGACGTTTGCACCACCGTGAACTTGGCGAAAGCGCAGCTCCTGGAGAACGACGAGACCTTGAAGGGCGAGGTTCTTGAGAACGCAGCTTTCCACGGCTTCCAAGTGACTGCCAAGTCCCCTGATGGACGGAGGTTCGAACGCTTCAGGGAGGCCAACCCCGAGGGGGAGTGGGCGCAGAAGTGGGGCGCAGCACAGGGCAACAACGCTAAGAAGAAGGTTCGCGCCGACTGGCTGAAGGAAGTAAGCTCCAAACCGTTGCCACCCGCCTCGCCCGCTCCAGAGTCCGTTCGCACTCCCACTCGGCGCTTCAGAGGCGCCCGATGGGGTGCGAATGGTCTCTGGAATAGGAGGCGCGGGCGACAGCGGTTTGACAGCTAGCTTCGCAGGAGAAGTGGGCGGACTACAAGGAAACGAAGACGGAGGTGCAGAAATGCAGTCTGACTTGGGAGGACATCGGCGAGTACACGCACTTCGGTCGCATCGTTGTGGAAGGGGGCAGCACCGATGGGGCCGTTCGTCGAGCTCAACACTACTGCGAGAGCTGCACCATGCTGGGGGAGCCATGGCACACGTGGACGGAGATGAAAAATGATGTGGAGCACTTCTACGTGCGGAAGCGTTTCAAGGACATCACGACCAAGGCTTGGGAGATCAAGAGGCAGGCCGAATCCGCTGAAGGCCCGTCGAGCTCGGGCAGCGGCGAACCCGCGGCCAAACGGCCAAGGATCGACGAGCCTGCTGCTACCCAGAATGCTGCTGGTGAGGGGAAGGCCACCGAGACGAAGCACCCCATTGAGGTCGCCGATGAGCCGCCCGTCGCCGAGAAGACGCCGCCCGTCGCCGAGAAGACGCCGCCCATGGAGCGCAATAAACCTCCAGCTCAAACGCTTCCGAAGGAGACTGCTGGCAGCAAGGGGGGCGGCAAAGGGGGCGGCAAGGGGAGCGGCAAGGCCAGCGCTGGCAAGGGGGGCGGCAAGGCCAGCACTGGCAACGGGAGGAAGTCGAAGAAGGCCACGGCGGCGACCCCCGCCAGCTTGATCAAGGGGGCTGTCGGTCTCAAGAAGCGCTTCAACGAGGCAGCTACATCGTACAACATGATGAAGAGGAGGGTGGATACCGAAGCCGACTGGTACTGGGTGGGCGAGAACGGATCCGACTTGATGACTCCGCTTTCGAAGTCGTTCCACAAGATGACGGACGCCGGCATGAGCGACGGCTTCTTCTCCGATCTGCCGCGCAGCTCCGAGGCCGAGCTGAAGGCGAACTACGAGAAGCTCAATTTGGCAAGCCACTGCAGCTCGACCATCGAGCTGATGGACCCTTTTGTGTCCAACGTCGAGAAGAAGGCGACTTCGACTCGAGTTCGAACCGATTTCGATTCACGGTTTGAGCCAAACCCAAGGGTTTCAAATTGCCTTGTCATGTTTTCTTGATCCGACTGGATGCAACCAACCACCACGTCCGCGCTCTTCCGTTTCCTGCCGCTCCTCCTCCTTCTTTTTCCCATCCCCCTCCCCCTCCTCACCCTTCTCCTCCTCCTCTCCCCCCCCCTCCTCCCCCTCCTCCTCCTCCTCCCCCGCCCCCCCTTTCTTCTCTCGCCTTCGATCTGAAAGCGAGAGCGATAAGAGAAATGCAGCGACGAAGTGGATGGTACAGGGAGAGAAGCGCCGGCATAAGAAGCACGGGGGTGAGGATGAGGGGGGGAACGAGCAGATCAGGAGACGCACAAGGCAGCACCTATAAATTCATCTCCAATGCCCCCACCCGCAGTTGATCAAGATCAGGGACATGCACAAGATCAAAATGGATGGGGGCCGCAGCGACGATATGGAGGACTAAAGGACTGCTCCTAATTCTGTCGGAAGAGGGTTTTCAATCTGAGAATCGCTTGAGATGATAAGCCGTGTGAGTCTGTAGCCGCGCCAGCCCCCACCCGCCTCTTCGAAACCAGCCCTCCATCCTAAACTCGCTAGTGCTCCAGGCTCTGACGGCATGGGGAGCAAGCGCTAGCTCTGCGACATACGCTCTAGGTGACCTTGCGACTCGGGATTGCGAGGATTGGCTACGAGCAGGAGCGTCTCTTTACATTCTCTGCCCCATTCAACTGTTGAAAAAATTGCCCGGTTCTCCGCTGGAGGCCCCCCGGGGCCCCCGCTGCCGCTTCGCCGCCCTTCCGCTGCCCTTTCGCTGCCCTTTCCAGAATTGGCGAATGTATCCGGCGAAAACCACAGCCGTTCCGCTGCCCTTTCGCTGCCATTCCGCTGCCCTTCCGCCGCGGTTTCGCGGGCCGTTTTTTTTCAAGTTTGGGCCGGCTTTTTCAGGTTTGGAACTGGTGCCGAATCAATTTTGGAGGTCTCGAAGCGGAATTGATGGCATCCCAAGGCAAGTTTTGAGCGTGGGCTTGGTTGCGGGGCAGGCCACCGCGCAACTGATGATATTTGGGGGCTCGAATCGAGTAGCTGGGTTTCTTGATGTTTACAGGGGCGACATATTATCAGAGGATTGGTTGATGCTAACTGGGGTGCTGGTAACTTTCTGGGCGGGGGGGGTCAATGCCAGGAGACCAACGACCCCCTCGTCAACCTGGCCTGCCTGCGTCTCCAATGCCTCCTCGTTATCCTGACCCGCCCTCTCCTCCTCCTCGACTGCGCCTGCTCGCGTCCTCCGCCATCTTCACCCTCTGAAATCCTTGGCACTAGATTCATGTCACTCCTTCGCGCCGTCTGAATACTCTCACTCTCTCTATCTCTCTCCAGCTCATTCGACTGCCGCGCCTTCCCCCCCCCCCTCCCCGAAGTGCCCCCTACTCCGCCCCGTCCTTCTCATATCCTCATCCCTCGCCCCTCCTCTTGCCCAGGACACCCTGCCGCTGGGCAAATGAGCTACCAGTGTCAGCCCTGATGCGCGAGATCCTTTATCCCGCATCTCTGCTTAAGCTGCGCCAAAGTCCGACGTGCCAAACGCCCCTTCAGGCGCCCCCCCTCCCCCCCCCCCCCCCCCCCCCCCCCCCCCTGAACTTCACCGCGCTTCCCAGTGCCGCGCTACCTCGGCCGTCGAACCCCGTCGCCCCACCTGGCCGACCCCCCGCCCCCCCCCCCCCCCCCCCCCCCCCCCCCCCGCGCCACGCCGCCCCCGAGCAGGGGGCCCCAGGTGTTTTGGCTAAGTGCTTGCGTTCGAGATGGTTCTTGAGAGCTTCAGAAATCCCGCTCATCTCTTTCCCAGTCACTGGGCTCAAGCCATTTTGGCTCAAGCCATTTTGGCTCAAGGGCTCAAGATTGCCGCGCCGCGGCCGCGGGGGGGCGCGGCTGCCATTGCTGCCTTCGTCTTCGTCGAGGTCAGCGAGATTGGTTCAATTTGGGCTCATTCAGTAAAATTTATCAGTGGGATTTCACTCTCATTGGTGGGATATCGACTCAATTTGGCGAATTCGCGAATTTATTGGGTTTTGTTAATTCGGCGCTTCATTTTATATCGAATTTTGGATAATTGGATCGTACTTACACTTTCGGCCATGCCGACTTTGCAGATTGGAGAAACCATGCAAAAGCTCTTGTCTTTAGATATCGATAAGCAGAAAAGACTGAGAGACGACGCTCGGATGGCAGACGAAGATAAAGAAAATCAGCAAGAGGCCTCGAAAGCTATGAGAACACTGGTGGCCAAGGGTTCAGCTAAGGGTACGGGGCTGGGAGAGAATGGTTCAATATCTTCAGGGGCTGTCTCAACAGCCACAGGGGCTGACGGTTTTTTGGTGCAACTCGAGTCGCTCCTCGATAAAAAGATCGCTCCCATCAAGGACCGTATCGACTCGTTACAACTTGACGTTCTGGGAACTCAAAAGGCCTTGGCCCAGGAATTCTCAGTAGCCGTCACCCTGATCAACGACCACGAAGTAAAGCTTGCCAACCTTGAGGCAGGTGAGACTGAGGTGCAGAAAGCCTTCAACGAAAGGATTCTGGCGGTCGAACTGGAGCAGAAGTCTCTGCGCGCAGAAATGGCAGCCAAACAACTGGAAAGCCAGTCAAGTCAGGGTCCCTCCAGGAAAAAGGGTCCGCCTTGGGCCAGCACCCCAAGAGCAGATAGAGATATCTTCATTCTCACTAACTTGGGCTGGAATCTCAAAAAGCAGGAGGCTCTGGAAAAGGCGCGGGCGATCCTGCGCCGAGCAGACGTTCCCCAGCCCACGCATATTGTTGCTCCTTTTGGATATGGGAGCTGCGTTGAGATCAAATGGAGCTCGGTTGCGGTGGGACTTCAAGCGGCAGCTACGATCCGTGATCTCAAGATTCCTGGGTACTTAGAAAATCTGATCTGGTGTGGACAAATCAGTACTAAGGAGGAGCGGGGCCCAGCAAAATTGTTCAAGACAGTTTCAAGTGCACTGGAAAAGGCAATGGGAGATCGCTCAGACAGTTACGTGATTTGCTCTCGGACTCGAAAATTTTTTGTCTTGGATCATCAGATAGGTGTTATCAAGGATGGGGAATTTCAGTGGCACGAGTCTCTTAAGGAAATCCCCGATGAAGCGCTCCGCAAGACGCTGAAAGACACCATCGACGAGGCACTCTCTCTTTGAGAGGCCTACGTGAGGGGCCTCGTTTGTGCACTCAATGTGCAAGGCAAGTGGGCAGACGAGACCCTAATGCAAGCCAACTTAGATTTGCTCGAGCTGAAGTGCTGGGGCTTAATTTGTATCCTAGAGGCGGATTTCAAGGGCTGCCTTCAAAACGATGGGCTACTTCGCCCCGTTTTCAATGGCCACGCTTACTACCGTCATCATTCTGGCCCTGGGTGTAGGGCCATGGGCGTGCTTGTGCACAAATCTCTGAGAAAACGTGTGAAAGACATTGTCTGCGATTGGAGATCTATCCGTGTTGATCTTCGTCCTGACTGTCTCGATGGATGCCACCATCATGCCAGATCCTTTCTCTTCTCTCATCTTGCCCATGATTTTTTCCATGATTCTCTAAACTGTGCCATCCAACTCGGTCGATCCCGCCCTGTGGGGTCCACTCTCTCCTGGTTGGGGGACATGAATGCAGATCAAGGCAACGGAGACCAACAATTTCGATCGTTCTGCGAAGCCTGTTCCTACCTCGACCTCCATTGGTGCCCTCTCAGGTTCCAAGAGACTTCCATGCAATTCACTAGGAAGCCCGATGGTGAGCAGGCGCTCTCTCAAGCCAACAGCACGATCGATCACATTGCTCTCGCCAGGGGTGATCTATCTTTTGACTGCTTCGCCTGCTGGGCGGGCGTCCCTGGGGACCATGCCCTTATTGGCTGTGATGTCCTGGCCTTCCCTCAGCGGGCTCGTAAGAGAAGACCGCTCCTTTGGACTCCTACAAACATTTTGGAGGTCAGGAAGATCGCCCAGGGCCTGTTTCCCGAATCAGCGGAACTTATTCGTCTAAATGACGAAGAACAGCCTGATTCATGTGCGGTAAGGTATCACGATCCAAGGGACCTCACCCTCTCCTTCGATTTCTGGGAAAACATGTTGGGACAGGTTTATGAAGCGACTCAGGCCCTCCCAAGGAGTTTTAGGAGATTTGCCGAAGAGCCATTTTGGGTCAAGAGTCTCAGGACACGGTTCAACTCCGAACTTAACGAAGCCTCGAGGGTCGCCTTGGGTCAGCTCCTCCTGAAAGCGCTCAAGATAACGAAACTTCAACGTGAATTGGCTCAGGTTGCGCTCAACGCCTCTCAAGGAAAACGAGTCTGGGCCTCCCGCAAGTCTCTCCTACCCATTTTGGGTTTCTGTGTAGATCAAGTCAAGATTTTTGAAGTGGACCGCTGTACCACACTGGTTGCTGAAGAATATAGAGAGAGGTGGGGACTCTCAGAATCGGAGCGCCAGGAGGACATCGCCTGGCTCCGATCTTTGGGTTTTTTTCAATTTCTACGACGACCCCATCATCCCTTCCTTGCTAGAGGACGCGCTGGACGACATCAAGGCCCCCCGAAAGATCGACACAGAGTTTGCCTGCACGGCTGTTATAAAAGTTTCGGGCTGGTCCCAAAGGCTCACGGGGTGTATACAAGCCTGCTTAGGCAACCCTGAATTCTGGAACGACGTCACATTCGGGGGCCACCTGGGTAACAAGATCAAGGGTTTTGGAACCCCTTCTCAAACTAGAGTTGTTATTCCTCAGCCTGCTATTGCCAAGATTGGGCACGCATATGTGGCGAGGGCCATTTTGCCAGTTCTGGATTCATACACTGACTCCAAAGGTCTCAAGGGCCTGATTTTTGGGCTAAGCAAAGGTGGACAATTACAAGAACTTCACACGAGTGTCTACCACATTTTAGAATATGGCCGAGATCACTGTAACAAAGGAATGGTTGGGATTACTGATATCAAAGCTCACCATGACCAGATTCGTTATGGATTGGTTTTACGGAGTTTATTGGGACGGGGAGTCCCTCTTTTCTTAGCGGTGGGCTGCATCAGGTTGCACAGGAACCCTCGAGTTTCCATTTCACTCTTGGACTCAAACACTGGGATTATCCAAAGAGACCGTGGGTTGATGCAAGGAGCTGGGACGGCATGCATACTGGCGCGCGTTTCTGTAGAAGATTGCTTCGCCTCCACCCTGGAGAAAATTACCCATTCTTCTTTGGGAATTTCCATTCGCTGCGAGCAGTTGGGCTTTGACTTCAGGATTGCTCTTCTCAGCTGGTCAGACAATATCTTCGTGGTGGCTTCCTCGGAACAAGATCTTGCAACTCTGACTGCCCTGGTAGAGTCGGAGCTATGGAATGAACATCGGCTCAAACTCAAAGACGATCGGGAAATTCTTCCGGCATACCCCTACTTCTTTCAAGGATACAAGTGG